GTGCCCGCGCGAGGGAATGCATAGGCTCCGGCCCTGGGTGGCAGCTCTCAGGTGAACAGCAAGATCGTGAGGACCATCAGGGCCATCTCGGGCAGTTCCCCTTGGAGAATTACATGGGGAGAGCCTGCAGCTGTGCGGATGGCAATCCAGAATCTAAGGAATCTTGTTTTATTTTTTCTCTTCTTTAATCCTCCCTCCCTTCCCTCCTCCTCCCTCCTCCCTCCCTCCTCCCTCCTCCTTCCTTCCTTCCTTCCTTCCTTCCTTCCTTCCTTCCTTCCTTCTTTCCTTCCTCTAAATATCATCTCATCTATCATCACTTCCAGAACAGTCCAGAAATCCAAAATCCCCTAAGCATCACCCCTCCCTTATCACTCATCCTGAAAATCCCTCCTCTCCCTTTTTAACTTGGAAAAACTTTTTTCTTGACATCTTCAGTTCCACATCCCCCACCCCCAGCAAACAAGGGCCTCCTTAGGGCCCCACCCCTTGCCGGGCTTACTGCCATCAGTGTCTTAACTGGCCTCACTGCTGCTGCCCTTGCCCCACAGCGTGAGCCTGTGAAAAGGTAAATCAGATGAGGAACTGCTCTGATTGAAATTCTCCAGAATTTCCCAATCTGGCTCAGGGTGAAAGTCAAAGTCCCCTGCTGGCCTGGCCCAGCCCTGTGTTTTCACTGTCCTCCTCTTTGCCACTCACCGCCCCCCCACCTCGCCTGTGCTCCAGCCACACAGCTTCTTGATGGCTCCTTGATAATGCAAACTGCTTCCAGACCTTTGTATTTGCCTATTTCCTCTTACAGGAACAGTCCTCCCCAGACATTGGCATGGCTAGCTTCCTCATTTACTATAGATCTTTGTTCAAGTGTCAGCTCAAGGGAGTCCTTGCCTGAACTATCTACCTAAAATAGCAGTCCCCAACCACTCTCTTCTCCCCAGCCCTGCTTCATAGTGTCTTCTCAGTATGCACCACCCGACGTACATGTGTTTCTTCCTTCCCCTAGAATGTTAGTTAGCTCCATGAGCACAAGAGCCATGAGAACAAGAGTCCTTTGGGTCTAGAGTGGTGCCTAATGCATAGTCGATGCTCAAATATTTGTTAATCAAATGGAGAATCATCCTGATTAAAGGAGGAAGAACATAAAATTCGGGGAAGATTATAAAAATGAATCACCTTTTCCCCAATACTATTGGTGTCTCCTTCCTAAGAGAGGAAGACCTCCTGCCACATGGCATCATTCCTGATGTATTTACTGTCCCAAGTGGGATTCCAGATGCAGCACAAAGGTCCCAATGAAGAGCATTAGACCCTTTTCTCTGTGGGTGTGTTTTTCAAATCACACAGAAATAAATCATTTGCCATTGATAATAGCAAACAGCTCAAACAGGGAAGCATGGATTTATAGTTCAGCAGGATTAGGGTAAAGATCATTAAAGTAATTCCTTTTATCTTATCAAAAAGAGCTTTTGGGTGACCAGAGTAAAAACCCCCAGACAGAATGTTCAGTAGCACCTGGAGCCTCCCCCGATACCCCAACTGCCAAAAGACAAGCATATCCCTGGTATGGCGGACTCTCCACTCATCTGTTGATTAAAACACCACACTGGGCTGTATGGAGAAAGAGTCTGTGCAGTATCCTTGCCTCTGGGGCTGCCTGGTCCAGCTGACCCCATCATTTAGAGCTTATTCATTAGCCCCATGGTTTAGAGCTTATTCTAAAGGCTCCTATTCACAGGAGGGGTGGAGAGTTGGCTGGAAGCATGGGAGGCTGGATGAACTACTGGAATTGCCATTTCCTGGGAGGGAAAAGGCAGGTCTGTGGTAGGAGTGGAGGAGTGTCAGGAGCTCACTTTTGGCTGTGTCAGGAGGAGGTGTTGAATCGGCAGTAGGATATAAAATACTGATTTTGGTGAGGCTGGAAGTAGGAGGTTGCCTGTGGCAGCCATTTGGGGAGCATGGGGCGGGGCCGAAGAACTAACCATTACTAGTGCTGCTGAGAAGCTTTGTTTGGGTCCTGCCTAGGTGTTAGTCCAAGCCACAGGTCCCTACCAGGCGATCAGATTTCCAGCTCTTGGGGGAGGGAGCTCCTTTCAATTCAATGACTTTTTGTTGGGTTCCTCCTGCGTATACTGAGAGCTATGTGCACAACAGTTTAGAATCAGAGTGAAATTATTAAGATCCTTCCTTGGGATCCTGCTCTTAAGCTAAAGACCAAAACTTGACCCGGGCCTCCAAGGTTCTGCCTCAAGGGCTCTTTTTGCCCACATTTACTGTGCTCTGTCTCTTTCAGTTTCTTCAACACATCACGCATAGTCTTCTTCCCTTTGCCAAAGTGCTCCCTCCCCCGCTCTGCCGCTAGTCATCTTTCCTTCATCTTACAGGTGACTTCCTCAAACAGGCCGCCCTAACCCAAGCGCCCAGCCACCATTTATGTGTGCACAGAACAGTTCTCCTTCTGGGGCTTCCTCCACCCTCTGTAATTTAGTAAGTGATCTTGTAGCTAGTCATTTAAGGTTGGCTCTTCCTTGCCAGAGGGCAAGGGTGGGATCTCCTCTCACTCTGTGTTTCTTGGTACCTGCTCAGTAGCTCCACCAGCAGTTGTGTGAATCCTGGCCGGGCTGAGTGGAACACGCTGTGTCAGGTGGTGGATACACAAAGGTGAACAAGCAGGGCCTGGAGCTTTCTGCAAAGACCCTTGGAAGAAGGTGGACTTCGCTTAGGCCTGAAACAGAGGGAGGATTGGAAGGTAGAGGGGAGAGGCATTTCAGCTGGAGGATCTGTTTAAACAGAGCTGGAAAGAGTCCTGACTCGAAATCAGGAGAATCAGGGTCTCAGCTCACCTCTTAGGTGACCTGGGACAAGTTATTTTCCCTCTCTGGACCTTAATCTCTTGTCTGTAAAAGGAGAGGCTGGTATATCAAGAATTGCAAATAATTGCACCATGACACTATTCCCCCATCTTATCCCCTGGCAGACATCTCTTTCACCCCGAGAGCCTGAACAGAGTTTTAGAATTGTTTTCAACACAAAGTCCTGGGCAGCCATTACCAATTGATAGGAGATGGTAAATGAGATAAGCCCTATTTATCAGACGTGGCTTGGGAGACTATCTCTTGGATGAAGTCGGGCTTTGACAGCGTCTGGTTCAAGGAATGGGTCGCAGGAGGACAGAGCAAGGGTTCTGACAGCTATGGGTAGAGCAAAAAGCCCCACTGAAGCAGAGGGCTCAGCAGCACCAAACACCACCATCAGAAAAGGCTTGAAGATGTCCTAGTTCAGTGGTGGCAAACTGGCCTACAGGGGCCAGGAGATAATATAAAGGAGACAAATGTGCCGGGAGAATAAACTAGGGAATGGTGAGCAGTGTGGCGAGTGGGGGAAGGGGAGACTGCCTGCCTTTTCTCAAAGGTTTCAATTCAAACTCTTTCCCTCCCACTGCACTTCTACTTCTCTCTCCTCCTCCTCACTGTATAGGTCAAGCGAAAACAGTCTTCAGGCTGCATTGCTTGCCCAGACAACCAGACGATGACCTCTGAGTCCTCCTGACTTTACTGGAGAATCTAGATCTGGGAGGGAAGAGTATCACTGAAGGCCACACTGTGAGCCAGGCCTGTTGATTTCTTTATTGCTTTCTACTGCAATTGTGGTTCAGGAAGCTTGGGACCCAGGATAAGGATGAACTAAGGAGAGACAAGAGTAGATTGAGGATTAGGTTTTCAAAAGCTGTCCACTGCATCCTGGGTGTTTAAGGCAAGGGAGGTGGGTGGCCCGTTTACTAGTACTATTAGCGATCACTCATGTGACTTCTTTTATGTGCTCACTGGTTTAAACTGCCCAGATCTTCAGAAATGTCACTTTCCATTGGGGAAATGTTCCCTCTCATGATTAAACACACACACACACACACACACACACACACACACACACACACACACACCTCTTCTATCCTCAGTATTAATCACCTTCTCCTATAATTGGTATTTAAAATGTCAAAGGAGAAGGAATTAATTAACAGGAGTATCCAGTGCAGCAAGGCATGCTATGCTGCAAGGCTCTGGGACTGATTATAAAAAGCACTTCCTTAAATATTTTGAGCACTTTTGGGAATCTGAAACCTCCCTTCTAATTGAGAGATCCTTAACTACACCCCAAGTCCTGGCTGGTGGCCAGGGGTGCAGAGCCGAGTGAGGCAGCGAGTGGAAATCCCTTCCTCGCGCCACCCTAGGGAGACCTCCCTGCAAACTGGGATAGGTGGCAACAGAGGTTTCGAAACAGCAGAGGTCCCTGGGTGGATTCTGAGGGAGGAGAAGAGATTCAGCATGACTGAGCTCCGGCGGTGTGTCGGGAACTCAACCCGCGGCCTTTCACAACAGTTCTGTAGGACAGGTGCTGACGGTTATCTCCATTTTACAGATGAGCATATCGAGGCTTAGCGTGGTGGCGAGATCCTCAGGTCACGAGGCTCTCAGTTGAAAGCGCAAAGGATTCAAACTTAAGTCTGATTCTAAAGCTTTGCTTTTTCGTGGAATGTTGAAATCCTGTGCCCAGCTCGCGTCACCCCAGTCCCAAACTCCCTGCAGGAGTTTTGACAGCTACGCCAAGAGCCCAGAGCCGGGGCTGGGAGGTGCAGCGGCGAGCAGCCCAGCGCCCCGCCCCGGCTCCGGTGCCGACCAATGGTAATGCGGCACCCGCAGTCTTTTGTCCAATCAGCTGGAGCTCCCCGCCCACCTCCCCCGCTCCGCCTCCCCCCCTCCCCCCGCTTTCCCTTTGGCTCGACCGAGCTTGACGGAGCGGAAAGTCCCTTCAGCCGGCTCCGGGCCGGCAGCCATTGGAGGAAGGTCTGTCAGAGGGCGGCCCAATCAGAGCGCGCACAGAGACGGGTCTCGGGCTGTGATTGGCCAGCGCGGCAGTCGCCCTTCCCCCCGCTCCCTCTCTCCCCCCCCGGGGCGGCTCGGAGGCGGGGCAGGTGGGGGCGGGCCCAGGTAGCAGGTTCGGCTGCGCCGCGGCCGCGCGTCGGAGGTAAATATTAAGGCGGTGGGTGTGGGGCGCTGGGGCCGGACCGGGACGCGGGCTGGCGACCCCGGGAAGGGGCGACGCCCCGCCGCCGAGGTGAGTGAGCGAGCGGGCGGCTGCGCCCCCCAGGCGTCCCTCCCCGGCCTCGGGGCGCCTCCAGCTGCCGCCGCGGCCGTCGGGCCCTCGGCGCCGGCCCGTTAGTCGCCCTGGCCCGGAGCCGGCCAGGCCCGCGGGGTGCTGAGCCCGCTGACGTCAGCCCGGGCTCCCCCGCCCCGGGGCTCCCCCCCGCCCCTCCCCGCCCCCGGGCTTCCTGAGAGGGCTCCCGAGCCGGGGGAGCGTGGTCGCCGCCCCGGGACCTCCGAACAGAGGGGACCTGCGGTGGGAGCCGCGGGGGACACCTTTACAGATGGGGAAACTGAGGCACGGGCCGCCGGCCGGCCCCCGACGGCCCCCGACGGCCCCCGACGGCCCCCGACGGCCTGGAGAGCCCCGGCTGTCCGTCTCGATCGCTCGGCCTCGGGGTGATGGTGGCTCCCGTCCAGGAAAAGCAGTCGGGGCTCTGGCCTCGTTAATGGCGTGTTCTGCTTTTTCTTTCAGTTTCCCCCTTTCCAGGGTGAGGATGGTTTCCTACGACCCGGAGTTCTTTCGTTGAAAGGTGCGCTCTGTCGAAACAAGGTATTCTTTTCCTTCCTTTTGTTTTTCTTTGTAATCGTGTTGAAGATCTGCCCCGGGGGGCGGGGGGAATTGGGGAGTCTTGAGAGAAGATAGTGTTTCCTGGGTTTGTTTCTCGGCTGGGTCAGCTGCCCGGTTATTCATGTACTTGGCATCTTTTCTATTCCACCCTGTGGCATTTGCATGTTTTAGGGTGGTTGTCATCTTCCAGCCACCCAGCCTTTTAGGCTGTTCAGCCCCCGACGTCCCTGCCCCCCATCCTCTCCCTCTCCCTCTCCCTCTCCCGGGTCTCCCTGCAAAGTTGTATCCTTCGCTCCGCGGAGGAGCATTCCCTGCCTCGCTTCTGAATTCGGGCTAATAGAGATCTTAATAAGACTGTTCCTTTTGCAGTCATTGGCTCCGGGAAAAAAAAAAAAAAAATCCAGGCCTTGAGGGAGGGTGTTCATTCAAGGGTTGGTGTTCTGCACACCCCCTCACGCCCGGAGTACACTGAATGGCCCCGAGCATTAGGCTGCCAGGCCCCCACCGGGTAGTGGGTGGATTTGAGCAAGAACAGTATTGGGAGAAAATGACTTGCTGCGAATTCTTGTGGAAGTTCGTGTACTGTGAATGTCGGCATCACCCAGAACATTCTCCAGTGTTCTGCTGCAAAATGTTACTTACAGTTATTCCCGTGAAGAAGCCTTCCTGTGGATGATAACTTTTGCGAAGAGCTGATGAGACCAGGGCTGTATTACATAAAACAAACATTCAGCAGCAGTAATCTCTTGTGGTCTGGCACGCCTGGACTGTGATTTCTTTCTTCTCTTTCTTTCTTTCTTTCTTTCTTTCTTTCTTTCTTTCTTTCTTTCTTTCTTTCTTTCTTTCTTTCTCTTTCTTTCTTTCTTTCTTTCTTTCTTTCTCTCTTTCTCTCTTTCTCTCTTTCTTTTTTTTTTCCTTTTGCTTGACTTAATGGAAGTCTTTATCACAAGAAGAGAGAAAGGAAAATCATCCTGCTCATCAAACGATTAGTATTTTGTTCCTGGTTTCCACACTTTGACCTTCAATTTGTCAAGGTATCCTCATCAGTTACACACAATTTATAGGCATCGAACATGGTGTGAAGGTCTAGGAAGCCAGTTTCAAGTGAACCTCAAAAACAGCTTGTTTTTATGATTGTGAATTTTTGATTTGTTTCTTCTCACGTGTGTGACAATGCAGTAGGATGAACATCAGCTGTGACTTCATTTATTCTGAGAAGTAGTATAGTATACTTTTTTCCCCCCTCTTTTAACCTGGAGGATGCTTTTGATCACTTCAACACCTAGGATGAGGAAATGGCATTTTGATCTTCACTTTTCTCACCTGGGTTAACCAAATTGTTGGTTCGTTTCACACGTACTGAATGCCCATTACGTGTGAGGCACTGGTTTGGCCTGGGAGATAACAAGATGAAGGACTTAGGGAGTTCCCGGTTTGGAAGTGGAGGGGCCGGGTTTAACCCTAGGGAGACTGTTCCTTGTTCTTCTGCCATGAATATACATGAATATACATGAATATATATGCAGGAGCCAGACTCTTTTTTTTTTTTTATCTTATAAATCCCGCTTGTTTTAGGGACTGATGACTCGTGCATTTGGGTTGCAAGTTAGAATGTGGGGAAAGATAAAACTGACTCTTTTCTGATCATGGAGTCTCTGTTTTTCTGTTGGTAGCTGTTCAGTAGTATAACAACTTGTTCTTTTAGTGACAGAGATTATTCCTTAAAACGGTGATTATTCTAACTATCCAGAAGCTTTTGGAAAAAGTCCTGTATGTCTTCTTTCTTTGTATTCATGATGACTTTCCTGTCTCTTTGCCATTTATAATTGAGGGCAGTATTTGAGTATTGTAAGTTTTATTCTGATTTAGGTAGCCTCCTGTGGTTTTTAGAACAAGTCGGGATATTTGAGAAGATGCAAAAAGGTTCTTGAATTCGATCTTTGTTTTCTGTAGTGAGGTTCTTTGAATAGTATAACCTGATAGCTTGAGAATTGAAAAGACATTGCATTTTCTAGACAACCGTTGTCAATTGTATGTAGTTAATGCTGTTCATCTGTACTATATATTATCTTTTAGAATGTGGTGATTCTGACCTTTAATATTTCTGTATAAAACATATTTCCTGACTATCTTTTTTATTGGATTGATAGAACACTGATAAATATTTGTCTTTCAACCTCTGTCTTGGTCTAATGAATTTATTTTAATACAGTTAAACTCCTGTTTGTTCAGAATCCAGAACCTCAACAAGCTCAGATAACCAGAAATATTTTCAGAATCTCTGTGACTCTGAACCATTCCCTCTTCTCGAATGTTGTCAAAAGAAAGGTTTTCTGTATGGTTTAGGGTTAAATATATCATTGCACTCCACCTCTTTGGTCATCTTCACTCAGTGCTTAGAGTAATTATCAGGATATTCATAATCACTCAATTTTCCAGTCTGAGATAAGTACGAAGGCATTTAGATGAATCATTTGTGATATATTTACACTCAAAGTGAAGGATACTATTAGAGGCAGTTTTAAGCCAATTAGACCTGAAAGGTAGTAAGAGAACATAAAGTAGGGCAGTTATCATATCTTAAATCTGTCATACCTCTTAGTATCTAACACCGTGCTGAGTGCACAAAAATGTTAAATAAACAAACCTTGATTGATAAAGAACTCATTGACAATGTCATTTAAATCTTTCCCATATAGTCTTTAGGTTTTATTGCTTGGCGTCCTTAAGACTTAATTTAACTGTTACTCATATTCCAGTGAAAGAAGAACGTTGTCATCCTATTTATTTCTATGGTGGAGTAAAGTCTCTTTATTAACCTGTTTCTGCTGTAATGGCAGTATGTGAGTTATTCACAATCATTGAATTTATTATCTTGTATAGCTTTGGAGTCATAAAGTTCCCCATTCACCTTTCTCTAACTATCTGTTGCAATCAAGAGAATCAGTGTTTAATATGGCAATTCCAAACTTAACTCTTTCTTAATCTGTGCTTTCTAAAAAAGGAAAGGCACAGCCTTTTTATTTTTGGATAATGCTTTTTAAATATTTTATAAACTTTTGTTCTGGCTGTTTTAGTGGTCTAACATGGTCTAACATGACCCCTGCTTTTATTGAGTTGAAACTCATTCCATTCCCCCTTGTGCTAATGCAAGTTAGAGCAAAGCTGCTTCTGTGTGTTCACTATAAAATATGGTTCTTAATAGTGATTGTTAAATTGCCTTCCACCCCTTTTTTTAAAACCATAGGAGTTACATATTAAAGTTTCTGTAGACACTCTCTTAAATGATTAGCAAAAAACATTTCTGTAACCAAATTCATAAGAAACATGGCATCCTAATGAATTACATATAATAATCTAATTTTGTCTTGGTAATATATCATGGTGGCCTTTTTAAAAATCATGACATGGGGATCCCTCGGTGGCTCAGCAGTTTAGCGCCTGCCTTCGGCCCAGGGCGTGATCCTGGAGTCCTGGGATCGAGTCCCGCATTGGGTTCCCTGCATGGAGCCTGCTGTCTCCCTCTGCCTGTGTCTCTCTCTCTCTCTCTCTCTCTCTCTCTCTCTGTGTGTGTGTGTTTCTCATGAATAGATAAAATAAAATAAAAATAAAAAAAGATCGTTACATGACTTGTTAAGCTAGAGAGCCAATAGAGTAGGAATTGTGGGTATATAATATTAAGATTCAAGGATGTTCTTAATTTTAATATTTGAAGGTATAATTTTTAGGAATTTTTAAAAATTCTAAATAGAATCATACTTGAAAAGCAGTTTTTGACCAAAAATATTTAAATACATTTATAAAGAGAACAAAGCAACTCACTTTTTTTAGAATTTGCTTTTTGACTATCTCAACCTTCTGAAAGTAACCCAGTGTCCATGCAGTAAAGCCTCTGCGCTTTACTCCTAAAGGCCATTCAGAATTTATACATACTTCTTTGAGCTCTTGTTGCTAGGGTTTTTTTTTTTTTTTTTTAAGCACAAAGACATATTTCATCCCCTGGCTTCTCAGAATTGATTAGAAACAGTAAGTTGGAAAGCAACAAGGCCATAAAATGAGTCAAATGCACACTGTAGAAAACCACAGAAAATGGCTGATTGCAAGGGAAAACCAGGTACTGTAAATCTATAGAAAGGAGACAGAGGACCTCAGCAAGCATAACATCAAGCCTTTGAACACAGTAACAAACATCTTGGTGTAATGAAAATTACATTCACATTGATAATTTGATGATCTAGAAAAGCATATTTCCTTGACATTGGAGAAGAAGTTTATTCAGAAATCACAAATACTTCATTTTGGTACTTTAGAGGAATACAGCCAAATTAAGGCTTTGGGTGACTGGGTAGCCTTCATGAGGGGTTTTGTTTATAATGATGCCAAGATAGGGGTTTCCACAGGTGTCTTATGTAAGTGGCAAATATAAACTGATTCTATTCCTGCTGAAGTAGATAGTGCCCTCAAGTGGAATTAAGACAACACATTATAAAGAAAGGAGAGAGAGAGAGAACCACCTCACACTAACTCTGTCCCTTTACTGAATGTTGTGTAGATATTTCAGTAATGTTGGTTTAAAGGGATGCCAGATCCCTGGGTGGCGCAGCGGTTTAGCGCCTGCCTTTGGCCCAGGGCGCAATCCTGGAAACCCGGGATCGAATCCCACGTCAGGCTCCCGGTGCATGGAGCCTGCTTCTCCCTCTGCCTATGTCTCTGCCTCTCTCTCTCTCTCTCTCTCTCTCTGTGACTATCATAAATAAATAAAAAAAAATTAAAAAAAAATAAAGGGATGTCAAACTCTATCCTGTCTTGGGTAACTTACATGTCTCGTTCTGGGTTGTAGAGGGACAGACTTGTATAAAAAACTTGACCAATTCTGGAGTACTTCATTATCTAATGATACGTTCCTTGTATAGATTTGCCAGGTTATTTAATCATTAAGTTAAATTATTAAATTTAATTTGGTTCTTTAATTAGGAATATTTATTTTTAAAGTCCCAGAATAAAATGGATAAATATGATGCTACTCTCCACTGCTGCTGTTACTCAGAATGGAAATGGATACCTCTACCTCAAAGAAGGATGGAAGGGCACCTGGATGGCTCAGTCAGTTAAGCATCTGACTGTTGATTTCAGCTCAGGTCATGATCTCAGGGTTGTGAGATCAAGCCCTGCATTGGGCTCTGTGCTGGGCATGGAGCCTGCTTGAGGATCTCTTTCTCTCCCTCTCCCTGTGCGCCTACCCCCCCCCCCAAATAAGGATGGAATAAGTAACTGTATTTAGAAACCCAGTGACCACATTCATGTGACAGAAAATACATAAGAACTTTTTTTTTCAGTAAAATAATTAAGATAATGTACTAAATCTTAATTTGATTTAATGAAATTGTATCATTTTTAACCATTGGTTGAAGTAGGGTTGAGAAGGCTATTTTAATTGTGACAGATTAGTATTGTAAAAATTTTAAATGAAAATTTGAAACTGAGAAAGAAATAATCTTTTTGTATTCCTTTCTAGTATAACATAGTTAAAATTGTGGTATAAAAATGTTTTGTTACTGAATTACAGTTATGTTCCTTGTTATGTAGTCCAAGTTTTAGTGGCTACAAAATTGATATTTTTTAAAAGATTTTACTTATTTATTCATGAGAAACAGAGAGAGAGAGAGAGAGGCAGAGACACAAGCAGAGGGAGAAGCAGTCTCCATGCAGGGAGCTTGACATGGGACTCAGACTCCGGGTCTCCAGGATCATGCCCAGGGCCAAAGGCGGCGCTAAACTGCTGAGCCACCCAGACTGCCCCATACAAAATTGATTTTTAAAGACACTTTTGCTATAATCAGATTTATATTATCTGACTGAAATTTTGAGAAATTAAATGATGGCTCTGATTAATATGATTAACATTTGCCTAAGGACAAAATGTACATGATGAAGAAAATGAAACTGGATCATAGAGTAAATAAATGATCCATTATCAAAATATGGAACACAGATATGAATTGTGCTTAAAGTTTCAGAATATGATTCATCATTTTTTTAATAGAAGATGTTCATCATAATAATTATGGTGGGGGTAACTTTTTACTTAAACTGTGTGTACAGAAGTAACAGCCTTTTTGGTTTATGTGTGTTTTGCCAAAATATAGCAACTTATTCATTTAAGTTAGGCAGGATCTATTAAAAATGCTACTTTTTAAAGTTTAAAAAATGTACGTGTATATATATATACACACACACGCACGCACATATATATTTAAATATGTATATAATGTTATCTGTTATTAGAATTTGATTTTGTAAATTTCATTGCCTTGGAAACAAACATTATTGTATTATGTTTGAAGATACTTTACAATTGGATCTCCTTAATTGAAGATGCAAAAATGATGATAGATACAAATAATGTATGTCTTTTAACCTTTTTAGGTACTTTTGGAAGTATTTCACGTATGTGTGTGTTTTTATTAATAGAATGAGATCTTAAGAGGTCTTTAATCTTAATTTTAGCTCACGTAGAATAAAGTGTAAAGTTTCTTTTTGCTTGTCCTCTAGGCATTTTGCTTTGCTGTCTTTTTACAGCATGGACACCAAATTGCTAAAAACGTGCTTTGGGACTGCCAGTGAATTTATCTTTTGTGGTTTTACTACAAACTTAGTAGTTTCCTTTTTTTTGAGTTAATATTTTGGAGTTAATGTCACAATGAGTTCAGGCTTATGGAGCCAAGAAAAAGTTACTTCACCCTACTGGGAAGAGCGGATTTTTTATTTGCTTCTTCAAGAATGCAGTGTTACAGACAAACAAACACAAAAGCTCCTTAAAGTACCAAAGGGGAGTATAGGACAGTATATCCAAGATCGTTCTGTGGGTCACTCGAGGATTCCTTCTGCAAAAGGCAAGAAAAATCAGATTGGATTAAAAATTTTAGAGCAACCACATGCACTTCTCTTTGTTGATGAAAAGGATGTTGTAGAAATAAATGAAAAATTCACAGAATTGCTTTTGGCAATTACCAATTGTGAAGAGAGGTTCAGCCTGTTTAAGAACAAAAACAGACTAAGTAAAGGCCTCCAGATAGATGTGGGCTGCCCTGTGAAAGTACAGCTGAGATCTGGGGAAGAAAAATTTCCAGGAGTTGTGCGCTTCAGAGGACCCTTATTAGCAGAGAGGACAGTGTCGGGAATATTCTTTGGAGTAGAATTACTGGTAAGTTTGATAAACTATTTTAGTGAGCTCTCTGTGTGTGTGTTTCTGTGTATATTTGTATGCACACATGTATTCCCCCCCCCTTAAATACAATAAAGAAGTTTTTCTAGAAATCTGTAATTTTGATGCTTATAATTCTTAGGATTTACTTTCTAATGATAAATTGAGATGATGCAAAGATGATACATTGAAAACTTTATAAAAATGACCTACTATAGTAGGAAATACACATCATGTAATTATTCAAGGCTTTCACATCTTAGAAATTTTAAGTGTCTGTGCTAAAAATGAACTCTACCAATTATAATTGAATTATCCTACAAAATTATTAATTACCTTGTGTCATTAGCATATGTAGGTTTCTCAGTTTTTTTGTAGTGTGTGCTCTTAAGTAATGAAATGTAGCTATAAGGTTTTTAAAAAGGTCCAGCAATTTCAACTTGCTTATAGTCGTCCCTCATGACATATGTGAAAATCATCTTGGAATTTATTTCTCCTGAAGATAGAACCAAGAACTCTGTGACACATTTCTGAAATTAATATTAATTCTCAAGAACTTAAATGTCAGTTACATTTTTACATTCTTGTATATAGAATTTCATGCCTTATTAATAGTTTTTAAAGCAGTGATTGTAAAACAATTGGAGATTTGAATCTCAGTTATGGTATTTACTAGATGGATTGCCAAGTTACTTAACCAAGCTACTTCTCTAAATCTGCTTCTTCATCTGTAAAATAGAGAAACCAGTACATAGCTTGAAGTATTTTTATTATACACTGATTGAAGAGTTAGCGTGGTGGCTGGCATACAGTAAGTACTCAGTAAGCAGAGCTAACATGATCATTATTTTAAAGTGATCAAATTTTATGACAAAATTATTGCTCAAATCACAGTGTAGAATCTAGCCATGCTCTCCCACAGTGGAATTATGATGTAAATTTAATTAATTAATTATATTTCAGCATCAGGTACAGCTTCTTCTTTATTCTTTTCTAGACACTGGAAATTGAGCAGCAGCTGCTAATAATTCTATTTGTTGTGTGTGTCATTTAGAATTTTCCCAGTGATTTCCCCCAAATCCCCAGAGTGGATCATTTTTTCTTATGGATCATGTTTCTCCGTCTCTTTATCTATCAATCATTTTTGTCCCTTCTCATTTGAAAACTAGGAAGAAGGTCGCGGCCAAGGTTTCACTGATGGGATATATCAAGGGAAACAACTTTTTCAGTGCGATGAAGACTGTGGAGTATTTGTTGCGTTGGACAAGCTAGAAATCCTAGAAGATGATGACAATGGATTGGAAAGTGATTATGCAGGTCCAGGGGACACAATGCAGATGGAACTTCCCCCTCTGGAAATAAACTCCAGAGTTTCTTTGAAGCTTGGAGAAACTATAGAGTCTGGCACAGTCATATTCTGTGATGTCTTGCCAGGAAAAGAAAGCTTAGGATATTTTGTTGGTGTGGACATGGTAAGAAACTTTTGGAGAATATTATCTTTGTGGATATATCTTATTAATTTTATGACCAATTTTAGGTACAAATTAAGCACTTTGAATATTTAAAATGGACTAATTTGGAATAACTTAAAAAACATCTTCTAATTTATCTTTGGTAAAGGAACATATCAGTATATGGGACAGGAGTCTAGAGAGTTACATTTACTCTTTTTTTCCAATTTGAATAAACTGGAATAATGTTTTAATCCTTAAATATGCTCTATGATAGCTGACCAATAAACAGGAAAAAAAAAAAAAAAAAAACAAACAAACCAAACCACCCGAATGTATTACATGATGTCTTATTTGAAAGGTTTTTTTCCCTTAATCTGTGATTCTCTTTTTATAATATTTTGCAAAATCCTATTGGCCTATCTGATTTTAAAGAATAGTGTAAAAATCATGTATGGAAAATACCTGCATAGAGGAAGAACACATTACTTCTACTTCTTTTTTTTTTTTTTTTTTGAACACATTACTTCTTAAAGGAAAAGTATCTCCTTAGGATGTAACTCACTCCAAAAATTCTTTTTTTCATTATGGTAAAATATATGTAACATAAAATTTACCATTTTAACCATTTTTAAATTTATAGTTGCATGGCATTTAATTACATTCACATTGTGCATCCATCACCACTATCTTTCTCCAGAACTTTTCATCACTCCAAACTGGAATTCTGTGTACTTTAAATGCTAACTCCCCATTACTCACTCCTCTCAGCTAGTATTCTACTGGTAGCCAGTATTCCACTTTCTGTCTCTGTAATTTGCCTTTTCTCTAGGTACCTCATATAAGTGGAATCCTACAGTATTTTTCCTTTTGTTCATTGTTTTGTGTCATTTTTAACGTTAGCTTACAATCAGATTTGTTCATAATGGAAATATCCCAATATGGCAAGTGGAATGTTACCTGTGGATGTTAAGAAGAGGAGAAGAAAGAGCCTGAGAAGAAGATGTTTATCATAGATTGGAACTATGGATAAGAATTTGTTAGGTAGAAAGAAGTAACTCGTACAGAATTATTAAACACTAGAATGAGTTAGGACAGATTGTGACTAACAGGCTCTTGTACTCACGATGTTTTTAGTGATTATTTTTTCCTCTCTTCAGGGATACTTTTTGGTAGGGGAAGAATGTTCTAGCATAAATTTATCTTGTGCTTGGAAATTCTGGGAAATTCTGTTTGATACCCATTAGTTAGACAAACATTACTGTTTAGACAAACATTTGCTGAACATTCGCCATGTAAAAAGTTAGAGCCAGAGTATAAAATGTGTGGGCCCCTCGGGATAGCTAATGATAAAGCACACCTTTAATATTTATTTAGAGGAGAGAGTGTGAGGTGGGTGGAGAGGGGCTGGAGAAAGAAGGCTATTGGTCATGGTTAGTTTCTCTTGCTTCAGGTCATTTGGGCCTCATACTTGGTAAAAGCCCTGTAGGCCTTCCCCCTCCTTAGATGGCAGTCAGGATCATCTTGTTTACTTGGGGCAGGCTGCCTAGAACTTTTCCCCATCAGCTTCTCCTCTTGCCTCTGTCTATCTTTCAGTTGGCCTGTGCAAGTGTACATTCCAAACCCCTCTAGTGTGCTCTTTGAAAGGAAAGTTCTGGCCAATGCAATATTTTTCATCTATTTCCATTGTTGTTCATGTGGTGCTCAGGGCAGTTGTCTGACTGGCCCATCTCCTAATCTAGCTGTGTGAACAGCACTGAACTACTTGGTGCAACATTGGAACATAAAAAAATTAAATGTCTTCCTATGAAGATGGGTGTTAACCATATAGACTAGGGTTTGTATGATGAATACTTTCAATTTCTTGCTCATCTATGGGCTTCCTATAACTTGGTTATTCTTGGATCTCATTTTTACCAAAACAAAAAACAAATAAAACAAAAACTTTATTACTGTGGTAATTATTTCTGATATATATATTTTTTTCTTTTAGGAGAAATAAACTTGGCCAGTGTAAAATCTTTGGGAAGATCCTTTTCTGGAAAATATAGATCTTCATATTCATGTTTTATTGAGAAGGGCTTAAAATTTTATTCTATTACTTACTTTCTAGGATAATCCTATTGGCAATTGGGATGGCAGATTTGATGGAGTGCAGCTGTGTAGTTTTGCAAGTGTTGAAAGTACAATTCTCTTGCACATCAATGATATCATCCCAGGTATGTTTTCTTGTGTTTATATATATTTTATATATATCAATATAAGGCAGAGTTTCTAAGCTGTGTTTTGTTATGAAGATATAAATTTAAGCTTCAAGATGCTTTTTGGAACTTGACTTTTTATATTTTGGTGTTGTTATTAAATAGAATATCCTTTCTTACCCCCAAATGAAAACAACACTTAAATATTTTTATTTCTGAAAGTAGGGGAGCGTGGAGTGGTATTTATATATTACTAAATTTTCATCTCCCACCTCAGTGGGAGAATAAAAACCCTTTCTGATCATTGGAAGGGTTAGATAATATGATTGAGAACCTGGTTTAAACTAGAAGCCTCTAAGCAGAAGTTGGTCATGTAATATGATCTGATCTACTTGGGGAGAATTCTTGCCGAATGCGCTATGAAATTTCTTCCAGTTTTGAGATGGTGTAATTGATCAGGCTTCATGTCTGTATAGTCAGAAACAGATCATTCAACTTTACACCTTTATACCTTAAAAAAACCTCTTTAAGTGGCGCCTGGGTGGTGTGGTTGGTTAAGTGTCTGACTCTTGGTCTCGGCTCAGGCCATGAGATACAGCCCTATATCCGGCTGTGCGCTCAGCATGGAGTCTAATTGAGGTTCTCTCTCCCTCTGCCCCTCCTGCTTATGCGCTCTCTCTCTCTCTCTCTCTTTCTGTCTCTCACTTTCACATAAATAAGTAAATCTAAAAAAGAAAAAAAAGCCAAAAAACATTAAGCAACCTTTTATTTTTACCTCAAACAAGTAGCACCTAATAGCTGTTGTCAACGAATGGATAAATGCCTATTGATGGTGAAATCAACAGCATTTTGCCCCTGCTCTTAGTAGAATTGCAGTTACAGCCTAGTCAGCTGATAGTAGGTTAATCATGAAACTGACAGGCATTCAGAGGTGGTGCTTTTTATTGAGCATTAGGCAACTATGAATAAATGTCAGAAAGCCCACATCCAGTAGCCACCAATGTATGAATCCATGAATTAGATGACTTGTACTTCTTTACATTCTTTTTTTTTTTTTTTTTTACTTCTTTACATTCTTGACAAATTTATAAGGTCTTAATTATTCCCGTTTTGCTGATAAAAAAACAGGGGTTTAGCTAGGGCTAAGATTGGCGAGGATCAACTAAGTGGTAGAGCCAGAATTCAAATCCAGACCTGTCTGATTATAAAGCTCTGCTCAGTTCAGTACCTCTTCACTCCACATCCTGTGTGTACTCTTTGGATGTGAAGATTTGCATAGAAAAGCATACTCCTCAGCCTCAGAAGGATGCTTGGGAATATTGTTTCCATGGAGATGTATTTTGTTTCTAATTCCATAAAAGCTGAATTTTACTATAGCAGGGATCATAACTGAACAAAAATGATTTTTCTACTTCCAGTATTTTGTTTTTCTCTTCTTCCTGAATTTGACACAGAACACTTTTGAGTTCCTCACAGGTCATTTCAGGTCCTCGGTATCTTTTTTGTAAAAATGAAGGGGCTAATGTTAGATGATCCTTAGGAGTCCTTCTAGCCTGCACTGTTTGCCCTTCCTTTCCCTGTTGGCCTGGCAAGTAATAAGTGCTTGTTTTGCTGAGTTGAGAAATGCTTTCTACTTTAGCTTTTAGCTTTGCAGCAAGAGTATGTTAATTTAATTGGAGGTATGGGATTCAAATAATAGCTTTATTTCGATTTCACTTTGTAAAAGTCTGGCATACTTGGCTTTTCTTGAATTTTAGACTGAACATTCGTATACCTACCACCTAGATTCTACAGTGAACATTTTATTTTACTTGTGTTTCTCATGTATCCTTCCCTCTATCCATGCACTAATCCATCTTATTTTTGTATACATTTCAGAATAAGTTACAGACATCTGTATATTTCCTCTTAAAAACTTCACACATATAATTAACTAGAGAGAAGTTTAGGGTATTTTTCCTTTTGAGATAAAAGACATACATGTAGTGAAGTGCATGTTGTGTCATTTGAGTTTTGACTAACACATTTACCCTTGGATTAAAAACCCTTATGAAGTCACTAAAATAACATCTAATAAGAAAGATATTTGTATCTCTAAAATCAAAATAATAAAAAACTACAGTAAGATACCTCATTTCCATTCTGTCTCCCGACTTCAGTTGCTTCCTTACCCCATCTCTCACCTCCCACTATTTTTATTAGTTTCTTGAATATCTTTCCAGAATTTCTTTGTACAATATAAATACATATTTTCCCTTCTCTTTTTTATATAAAAAACATACTATTTACAGTGTTTTGCACCTTGTTTTATTCTCTTAAATTTGTATCTTGGAACTCTTTGTATACTTGACTAGAGAAGTTCTTGATTTTTTTTTTTTTACAGTGTATAACTTTCCATTGTATTTATTTAATCAGATTCCTACTGATATATATTTGGGTTGTTTCTAACCTTTACAAACAATGCTGTGATACCCTTGTCCATGTATGTTTCCCACATGTGCCAGCAAATCGATAGGACAAATTCCCAGAAGTGGGGTTGTTTGTTGGAAAAGTCCATACATTTGTATTGTTCTAGATACTACTGAATTGCCGTAAGCCATTCATTCTTACATTCAATTACATTCTTACCAGCGGAATATGAGAGTGACTTTTTTTTATATCCTTACCATGAGAATATGTTGTTAAATTTTTCTCCCAGTCTGAGAGGTGAAAAATATATTTCAGTATAGTTTTAATTTCCATTTCTCTTATGAATGAGGTTAAGCATCTTTTCATATTATTAAGGGCAATTAGTATTTTTCTTTCTGTGAACTGTGTATGCATACCTTTGTCTTTTTTTTTTAAATGGGATTGTTGGTCTTTTTTCTTCCCAATTTTTTTTTTTATGTGTTAGGGAATTAAACTCTTTTGTGATATGAGATGTGAATGTTCCCTACTTGGAACTCTAATTTGTCATTAGTCCTTTTTTATCTGGCTGCCCTCATTTTTCAGAATTGTGGTAAGATAAATGTAACAATATTTGCCATTTTAACCATTTGTAGGTGTACAGTTCTGTGACATTAAATACATTTACTGTGATGTGATACCATCACCACTATCTATTTCAAGACCTTTTCATCATCTCAAATAGAAACTCTATACCCATTAAGAAATCACTCCCTTCCCTCAGCCTTTGGTAACATCTATTCTCTACTTCTTGTCTTTATGAATACTTTATATAAGTGGAATCATATAATATTTGCCCTTTGTAAATGTCTTATTTCACTTAGTGTAATGTATTTTGACTTGGATTTAGGTGGGTTTTTTTGGCATGCAGAATTTTAAAATTTTTACATAGGTGAATTATCAGATTTGTTTAATGGGCTGTATATTTATAACTCCAAGGTTGTAAAGGAATTTCCCCCATGCTTTCTTCCAGTACTCTTGTGATTTTGGATCACAAATGCATATATATATATATATATATATATATATATATATATATATATATGTATATGTATATATTATATATATATATTTGATCCATTTTTATTTCATGTAGTGTATAATGTGATATATGGATTGGCCTTAGTCTCCCCTCCCCCAGATAGCTATCCAGTTGTCCCAACATTTTTTTTATTAAAAAGGTCATATTTTGGGATCCCTGGGTGGTGCAGCGGTTTGGCGCCTACCTTTGGCCCGGGGCGCGATCCTGGAGACCCGGGATCGAGTCCCGCGTCGGGCTCCTGGTGCATGGGGCCTGCTTCTCCCTCTGGCTGTGTCTCTGCCTCTCTCTCTCTCTGTGACTATCATAAATAAAATAAAAATAAAAATAAATAAAAATAAAAAGGTCATATTTTTCCTGCTCCTTTGAGATGCCACTTTTACCATATTCAGTGCCCACATATGCTATGGTGTATTTCTAGACTTTGTGTTCTGTCTGTTTATGCTTCAGTGCCAGATCATTTTTAATGATTCTTTATAATCTGTTTCAGTATGAGTGCTAGTCCTCATTGCTCTTCTGAATTTTCCTGCTATGCCACATTATCATCTAAAAGGTTAATAGACATATTTAAATCTATAATCCACCTAGATTTGATTTTGTGTAGGATGTGAGATACATTAATCCAATTTGATCCACCATGCTTGCTGTGTATAAATCAAGTTTCAACACAGGTATATACACAGGTATATATGGATCTTTTTCTAGGCTCTACTCTTTTCCTACACTAAGACTTACAGGCCTTCATTATCCTAGCTTTACGAGAAGCCTTCTAGCTGGAAGAGTACCTTTCCCCTCATGTATTTTTTCACAATGAGTGTCTTGGTTGTTGTTGGCCCATGCCTCTCCATTGTCAATTTAACAATCAGCTTCTTAAATATTATAGGAGAATTCAGTGGGATTTTGATTGGAAATGTAGTTAAGCTGTAGAGTCATTAGAGAAGAGTTTTTATCATATTGAAATTTCTACTACATGAACATTGCATTTCCCTTTCAGTACATTTCTCCATTTCTTGCATGCATTCTGATATGTTATAAAGTAAAACATATTTTCTAACAACTTTTTGTGGTATATAGAAATACTGTCAACTTTAGAAAGAACAGTTGTATTGAAATCTAATTCACATACCATATAATTCCTTCATTTAAGGTGTACCATTCAGTGTGTTTTAGCATATTTACAGATACATGCAGTCATCACTATAGTTAGTTGTAGAACATTTCCATCACCTCACAAAAAAACCCTCTACCTTTTAGCTATCCCTCCACTATCCCTTCCTCCTCCTTAGTCCTAACCAAATGCTGATCCACTTTCTGTCTCTATGTTTGTCTGGACATTTGGACATTTCATGGAAATAGAATCATATAATATATATTTTTCATGGAAATAGAACCATATAATATATATTTTTGTGATTGGCTTCCTTCACTTAGCATAATGTTTCATGGTTCATCCATATTGTAGCGCATGTCAGTACTTTATTCCTTTTTATGCCTGCATAACATCCCATCATATGGGTGTACTACATTTTGTGTA